TTTATGGGTTTTCCCATATATCCATCATCTTCCTAACAATCATCTTCATCCTCATCATATTCCTCTTGCTATTGCAACTCATCATAAATTTTAGAAGTTCACTCTTCATCCTCAACAACAGAAGTAGGACTTGGCGCTATTATCATGGGATCGTTTCCAGAATTATCATTCAAGATAACAAAATCAATTTTAGATAGCTTATTCTTTTTGGATTATTCTAGTAGTACATCACCACTTACACAAGGGTGTCCATAATGGACACCCGGCACCTCCTCATTGGAGGGAGTGCCGACCCCGCCGACCCTCCCTCCAATGAGGAGGTGTCGGGTGTTCATTATGGACACCCCGATGTAAGAGGTGATGTACTTCTAGCATCTCCCATTCTTTTTTCCTTCTGCCCATAATAACCTGCCTAGTGGATTTATTTTTTGCTCTGTAAGCATAATGGATGCTATTATCATTTTTTGCTCTGGTTATCCCAATTCGTGCAATTACATTTGTTAAATCGGTGAATATATGAATGCCATTATCATTTGCGATGGTGACGATGACAAACGTGACTTAGTTTACTTATTTTTGGTTTTAGGGAAAGGTGGGGGTGTGGGTAGGGTTAGGAGTGGGTGAAGGTGAACATTACTTCTCTTTTTATATAGTTGGATTTTTATTTAATTAGTTTATAATAAAAATTGTAAATATACAATTTTACCCTTCGTTTAATTTGTCATTTTGAGTTAAAATTTCAATTTCAGCGTTGACTAACGGGATTCTGAATGAAATCGGTTATATGGACTTCAGCTGCAGTCAAAGTGAAAGGTTTGGGATTGCAGCTTCAAAAATAAAAGGTTAAAATATAATTTGCAACAAATTAAAAGGTTTGGGACGCCTACTACAATTTTCCCTATTCTTTACTAGTTTTTTCTAGGGTGACAAATGGGTTGCGGGCTTGTTTGGACTCGACCGCTCGGAGGCTTAGTCTATCGCCGACAATATTTCACGAGCCAGCTCATGGGCAGAAAAGGACCGTTTGAACTGGCCCAAGGTAATGGTTGGGTCATTCTCTTTCAACCACGTGCTACATTTTAATTCTCAACTACGAAAAAGAAAAGTTCTAGGTAATGCTATTTATGCGGTTTACCCTTTTGTAAAGCCCATTGGGCCCTTGCACAAGAATAAAGGGAAAAATTCACAATTAAGGCATTAAGTATACACAATTCAAAAATCAGGTTTTAAGTTTAATTAATACAAAAATTAGATTTTTATTTATTAGTTAAATATAATAAAATCACAATTATATAATTAATGGTCATAGGTACATAATCATAGGTCACAACTTATATATTGATCACATATTAAATAATTAATTTGTCACAGATTAATTCGAGATCACAAATCAAAAAATTTATAAGTCACGTTTTATTTTATTGGTCACAAATTAAAAAATTATAAGTCACAATTTATCAATCAGTCACATATTTTCAAAATTGTTGGTTATAAATTATCGAATTTTAAGGTCACGGTTTATTATTGGTCACAGATAAAAAATTATAGGTCACAATTTATCAGTCTGTCACGTATTTTCAATTTTGTTGGTCACAGATTATCGAATATTAATGTCACAATTAAACAGTTGGTCACAGATAAGGGTCACATATGACCACCACCATCATCAACGCCGCAACTGTTGCCTCCACCACCACAACCGCTTCCACTAACACCACCAACACAATGCCATCGTTGTCAACCACCATCACATTGCCGTCAACCACCAACACCACCATCGCTGTCGTCGACCAGCACCAATAACATCACCTCCACCTCAACATCGCAGTCAACATCACAACCACCACCAATCAACTACAAACACCACCACAACTTGCAAACCATTACCAACTACCTTAAAAAACTCCAGATTTTCACCACCAGCACACTACCACCATCACCAACTAGATCTGAATCCATTACAACCAGTATCAACACCATCACCACAACTCCACTCCGCCGCTACACACACACCATCCGTTGATCTGACACAGCACGCCCGCACGCTGCCGTTCACAACAGCGTCGCAACCCTATAAATGACAGCGTCGTAACGTTGCCATGTTCACAGCGTCGCGACGCAGTAAATGGCATAGGTAGAGAGACGAGGGAGAAAGAAGGAGGGGAGGGAGTAGTGTGTTATAATTAGGGTTATTAATTGGAGATTTAATATATATTACCTGAGTTTTAAATAAATGAAGAAAATCAATTTTTAAGTAATTTTCCCAAGAATAAAACCAAACAAGCATATATTCGTCAAGACAAGCCCATGTAACTTCAAAGCTGCTCTCTTCTCTCTCCCTTGGAACAGATTTATCAAACACCACAAAAAAGAAAAGGAAAAAAAAGTACAGCCGTTGGATCTAGGGTTTATCATCATGCCGAAGAACAAGGGAAAGGGAGGGAAGAACAGGAAGAGGGGGAAGAACGAGGCGGATGACGAGAAGCGGGAGCTAGTTTTCAAGGAGGATGGACAGGAATACGCCCAGGTGTTGCGTATGTTGGGCAACGGTAGATGTGAAGCCACGTGCATCGACGGCACTAAGCGTCTCTGCCATATCCGTGGAAAGATGCACAAGAAGGTCTGGATTGCTGCCGGTGATATTATTCTCGTTGGCCTCCGTGATTATCAGGTCTTTGTTCCCCCTTTTTTAGTATTTTAGAATTCGTATTAAATCCATAGTCTAAAACTGATATCATCAAATCATCCGCTAACACAGTAATTGCTAAATGTTTGGCTACGTGATTTGGACAGTATTAGTGAAGAAAAAAAAAGCTAAAATCTTGGATATCACGTACTCTCCTGTTTCTGTTGTATTATGAAAGTCATAATTAAATTATCTGTCTAGGGAGAAAAAGGTATAGAAGTAGGCTCCCTGTTGTCTTCCAGATTCGCCTGATACCACTAGAAAAAGCATAATTAGTTTTTGATTTTAAGTTCGACAATTGGAATTAATAAATTCTTGTTTGTGCGGGAATATTTAAGCTTTATAAATTTCTTTGTGTGTTATATCCTTCTCCGAATTTAGATTATTTTTTTGAAAACAATCAATTAATCAGAATTCTAATTAGTTTCAAAATTGGAATTCATGGAAAATCAATTCAAATTTGAAAGCAATATTTTACAATTCCGATCCCAATTTCATCGTGCTGTCCAACGTAGGACAACAAATATCTCTCTATTTTCTGTTAATTCCATTACTTAATGTGGATGATGGTATAAATTTCTAATGGTGACAACCTCTTTTTCGGTGTTAATAGGATGATAAGGCTGATGTAATCCTGAAGTACATGCCGGATGAAGCTCGGTTGCTGAAGGCCTATGGTGAGCTGCCAGAGAACACTAGACTTAATGAGGGTATTGCTGGTGGACTTGATGAGGAGGACGATGGAGCAGGTGATGATTACATTGAGTTTGAGGATGAGGACATTGACAAAATCTAGAGAACTCATGGGAATTGGAACTCTGTACGTAGAAAGTCTACATAACCTTAAAATTATGTTGTGCAAAAGGTTTTTAATTTATTATTAGAAAGAGGAATATCTTATGTGTTATTTGTGGTGGTCTATGTATGAATATTTATGTCTTGCTACAGCGGATTCGGTGACGAGGAATTTTTATTTATATTTATGTTTAATATTTTAACTGTTGAATGCACGAAAATTTCAGATGTGTCGTATTCATTGATTGAATTGTGTGTGACTAATGTTTATGTTTGTCTTGTCTTTGGTGTTTTTGGCATAAATATGTAAAATGGGAATAGGTATTTGGCATGTTCTGCATAGGTCTTCTCGTTGTGTACTCCGAGATTATCTCACACACGCATTGCATAAAGCAGGCTGGGGAGCTGTGTTCAGAGCTATTAATCTAGGCTTGACACTGTGACCTTCTTTAGCTAATGAACAAATTTTAGTTTCTTTTCATTTCTTAATAGTCAGTGGTGCTATCAATCTTCCATACCAACATGCTGTCAGCGTTTTGTTGTGAGCCAAATTTAGGAAAGCATTAAGAAAACCCGTTGGACCTAACGATGCTAAAAAACTACATTTGCTTCTGGTAACAATTTGGTGCTGTTGACTGAGGGTCATAAGCCTTACAGTTTTCTCAGTGATTGGATCGATTGTGTTGTCCACTTGGATTGAATTCTGTATTGGGCCTTCTAAAATGTTTTGACTTTATTTGTCATCTAAATGTTTGACTCGGATTGGCATGCTGGAATGCTCCTAGAATGATTGGTCATGGTTCATCAATGAGCATAATAATCATGCAAAACCCATAACCAAAATCCTCAAAAATGGCTATGTGATTCAACATTAGAACAGCTCCTCCTTCAAAATGGAAACCCGTAGATGCTAAAGTGATGTTCCTACTTGGCTTGGCATAGCACAAGTTACATGATCTGTTGAGTCCTGTAGCAGGCCTATGAAAATGTTGGACCATCACACTTTGCAAAGTGGCATAAGCTCTCTTTGTAAATAGAATATGTCCAATACCTGAGCCTATCCACTGGTTCCATTAGCCCTTAAGTGAAATAAGGCTGGGTAAAGTTGAAGCCAAGTACATCGAACAGTTAGTTTCAAGTGATACCTAGGCATAGTTTGCATCAATGATTTCTATTGTACTCTTACTTGACGATTTGCTTTTACTTGTGGCTCATGGGGCAAGAATGATCTTCTTCCCGTGCCTAAACTGAATACTCATGCTATTGAATTACTGGGATCGTCATTCCTTCGTAAGGACAGAACACTTCACTATATATGAATATGATGAATTCCCTTTTCATTCTGAATATGATGAAGAGTAGATTCTCCTGTCTTCGCATATTTCAGACCCCACGGCCAAATGCCGAGCCTTATGAGTGGCTTTTTTATTAATTGGGAAATCAAAGGTTTCTGTCCAAAAAAACCTTCAGTGCTACCATAAGTGTATCTAGCATCTTCTAGCTTCATATTGGCACGCTTTTCAGCTACATTGTTTTGGTACATGTAGTGGATTATTACATGGTAAAGTACGAAAATGCCCATTTTTTTGTACTTGAAGTTTTCCCTTTAAGTTTAAAGCAATTCAACTATTCAAGTATCATATTTGCTTTAATCGACTGATAAGTAGGGAGAGAGTGACTGTGTGCCAAAAATAAATATAGTTATCTAGAAAATTACTAGATGTTGAAGTCTAGTGAACTATTGCTTGAGTTCGTAATCTCGAGTTTCGAGTTGTTTGTAGATGGAGTTGTGTGTTGACCTATGATTGATTTTATCATTAATGTTTTTATCATAACAAACAAGATTAATATTGTTTTGACAATTGATTTTGAGTGATGATAGTTCAATGTTAAAATCAATCAAGTTCATTCGAGACGAGAACCTAAAAAATAAATGTCAGGAAAGATCAAGAGTATAAGAGACGACATCAAAGAAAAGTCAAAACTAGAAGCCCAAGAGTAAAACTTCAAAGCAAGATCAAAGACTAGATTTCTTAGTTCAAATATAAAGGAACTAATACTTTGATATTTAACAATGAATAATAAAATCTCAAAAATCGTTTTATGTACGAAAATATTATTTCATAAAAACACTTGCATAAAAAATTATTCTTTAAAAAATGTAAGTATTTCAACTTGATATTTAAACTTTTTACAATGTTAGTTACCTTGAAAAATAAATTGAAAATATCCTTCAAAAGCCTACATTTTTTAAATCAATCAAAAACGAAAAATCCCAAAAAATAAAAAAAATAAATAAAAAAATCAAAGAGGACGTCCGGTTTGCCCTACTGTAATTTTTTTAACCGTTCTGATTTCGACGTACAACAGTTAGTTTTGTTGTCCAGTTCAGGATGCGGACGTCCAGATGGGTTGTCCGATTGGTCATAATTTTTGGCGTTTTGACTATTATAAATACTCCTTAACTTTGCATTCATTACAACAGCTAGAAGAGAGCTTTCTTTTAAAATATATCTGTGAAAAATCTTCTTAGAACTTACATTTTACATCCATTTTATTTATTTAAACTTCTTGAATAATTTTTCTCATCAAAGTTTTTCATTTCTCTTTGTACTTAATTTATTTATATCAATCTTAAAAGATAGATATATTTTTGAAGAAGATATTTACACTTACATTGCATAAACTTTTGTACTTCTTCATAATGAAAACTTTGATTAATTGAATCGAACATGTAAGATCATTATATCCATCAAAATTTCTTATTTCTCTCTTAGTACTTAATTTATTACAATTATTCATTAAAAGTAAGATATATCTTGAGAATATTTTTGAATCTACATTACATTTATTTTTTCTTCATCTTCTTATTGAAATACTTTAATTGATTGAATCAATTTTTAATTATCATATTCATTAAAAAATTTCATCTAACATTTGAGCTATCATTTATGGCTATTCATTGAAATGTTAGACTTTCTTAGTACTTAACTTGTTATTTATCAATAGAGAATTTCCATTGTAAAATAACTTTGATAAAGTGTATATCGTGTTGAAGTCTCATAAAAATCAACTTGTATAAAGATCGATGCTCCTTGTTGTAAGTCACCGTGTGGGTTTAAGGTTCCGTATATCTCAATATTGTATTAAGGATCGGTACTCCTTGTTTGCAAGTCACCGAAAGCGTTGTATAGGATAGGATTGCATCATAAGTCAATCAATATAGTGAAAATGCTTTGCTCGTTCCGGAGAGTTTGGTAACAGAGTATGTAGATCATTATTGGATCGAACCTCCACTACTGTATTATTTGTTTCATCTTTCCTTTTTACTTATCGATTTTATATTTATGCTTATTATTTGAACTAATCTATTTAGTCTTCACTTGTTTGAATTTAAATTAATTTTTCGATAAAGTTTTAAAAATTAATTCAACTTCTATTGGTTAGTTATTCTTAGACTATCACTGTGTTCCCTAGATGGATTGCATGAGCTTTAAAGCTCGAGAACCCTATATGTCTCTCTTCTAAATTCAGATATTTGAAAAGAATGATTTCTCAACTGAGCCTAGTGAAATAAGTTTGATATAAAACCATACGATTTGAGGGCATAAGATGTTGAAAACGGGAAATTTATCAACATCGCGAGGATGGCATATGAAATATGGCTTCCAAAAATGAATTTTGAAGCTATTTCTCCTTGTGCAAGATTTTTTTTTTTTGGTTGGCGGGCGTGGGGAATACACTTTGTGAAATGGTTTAGTGAAAGTGGATATTGTTTATTTTCTTTCTAACGAGTGGAAATTTCTCTTGATTAATCTTCCGGCCATTTTCATAAACGAGAAGCTGTGTCTTTATACACTAAATTAATTAAGTGCAGAAATGTGTTCTTTTCATAATATTTGATTCGAGGATATAAAATATATTACACTTGGGATAGCCGGTAGCATGACAATTGATGATTGATGCCATAACATCGAATATATATCATTAAGGAGTGACGACGAGACACAAAATCGAATTTGTCTATTATGAATCCATTTTGAATCATGCTATCTAAAAGTTTAAATTGGTCTTCCATGACACTGTTGAGAAAATGAGGACTTGAAAATGGAACCTCATAGGCTCTGTTTAGGCAGAGTATGTCCAGCGCCACAGTTGTCAAGGAAACCACCAGTCCCACTAGCCCTTAGTTGAAGTAGTGTCTTGATTGAGTTGAAGTCTTAGCAAGTATCCCGGAATAGTCTCAAGTGATACCGGAGCATATTTTTTACAAGTGATGTTGATTGTACTCGCGCTCCGCCAGTACGAGGGGCTCTACTATCACTTGGGAAACTAAAAGTTTCTCTCCCAACAAAACCTGTACTGCTACCGTAAGTGTATCTAGCTTCATATTGACACACTCCTTCGCTACATTTTCTTGGTACACAGAATAGGCGAGTTGCATGGTAAAGCACGAAAAGATCCCAATTGTTTGTAGTTGAAGCTCTCTTTCTCTCTCTAGGTTGAAAGCAGGGATCACAGCGTTCGACTTGTATCCAAGTATCGTTTTTTGCTTAAATCGGCTGACAATTAGGGTTGAGTACAACTTGTGCCAACAATAACATGACCTATGTAAAAGTTACTCAATGCACGTATTATTGTAGTTTGTATTGAACTGGTGTGAGTCTTGAATCTCAAGTTTCGAGTTACTTGCATATGTAACCATCACATTCATGCGATAGGTTGATTATGTACCACTTCTAAGTTTCACATTATTTGTAAAAGACCTGTCTTATGGACTTATAAGCACATCAAACACACTATCCTTTCAAGCAATATTAAGAGTTGGTATGCCAGTTTCACAGTTAAATATACTCTAGTGGTGGTAACTTCGTGTTGGACTCTGGATTCCATTTCCTATGTCTTGTATATACTTTCTTTGCATCCAAATCTGTTTTTATTTTGAGATGCAGTTACTGTTTGATTTAGCAAGCTTCTGTGATGATCAGGTTAGCACAGGAACTAGTGCGATGCAAAGTTCTTAACTGTCGATAAACAAGAATATAATCATAAACACGACCAACTTTATAGCATGCGTGAATGTATTGTTCAGAGACAAAAGGAATGAGCGCGATGGAAATACAGACCTATTCTACATCACAACAAGATATACAGAATATGTAAATAAGTTTGGTCCGAGGTTGGGACGAGTAGAGAACGAAATTTGCACCAGAATGCAAGCAAATTATTCAGCAGTTCCTGCAATCTTCTTCTTTATTGCTTCAATATCTGTTGCCAGTTCTTTTCTACCAGACTGTAAAATCATGTTAGCACAGATCAGCAACACGAAATCTAAACAGTAGCATAACCCAGGCAATGATGAAGTAAAGAAATTCGAATCTCGTCACTTTAGTGTCATTACTGTAATACTGCATATAAATTTGTAGAACATGCATGAAATAAATAAGGATATGTTAACATTAGCTACCAAGAAATACTTCAGACTAATATTTTTAGACCCCGGGCCCTTCTCCCAAAAGGCACATCTTTAGGCGTGTTATTTGGGAACTTCGTCAGAAATATCGTAATGGAAGGAGTTTGTCCATAGAATTTGACCAAATAGGGCCATCCATTTCCCATAAAACCCTTCATAGTGATATTAATTTATATTAATAGAATTTTTTATTTTTTATAATGTCATCAGAGAATACCATGAAAAATTTACCTTGAAAAGAAGGTAACGGTACACAAACCACCCGGTGTATCCAAGCCCAACCAGTTCCATGATTTTTGGAAGCTGAAATAAAATATCAATAAATAAATAAGATTTTAGTTTCGTTAAAGAAATAAAAAGGATAAAAGAATTGCGAACTTTTCAAACATAAAATCTATCATTCCATGATATTTAATTAAATACAAAAAAGAAAGTTCCATTTTTACCAAAAACCTACCAAAGGAACTGAGTTTACTGCACCAACTACAATGGAAGCTAGCCAAACCGCGACAATTGCACCACCTCCGTAAATAAGTACAGTCGACTTGTTTTCTACGGCGTCCCACTATAAAAATGTGACAGAAAGAAAGTAGAGAAAAATTAGATGTAATTATCTGTTAAATCCTGGCTCCAAGAGCGTGAACAACATTGAATTCTGCAGAATTAGGTAACAATGAATAAGTCTTGGATTCTTAATGAAAATTATATAACGAACCAAATAACATATTTACCTTTTCTTTTATGTCTGTAAATAACTCATTAGCATCGACAGCGGAAGATGTCTCATCTGATGAAGAAGCTTTGATCTGATGCAGAGAAGACCTCTTCGACTCTGTTTAAAAATGAAGCCAAAATACATAGGCACCAAAATATCAAGTAAATGACCTTGTATAGTAGCCAATATCCTTGAAAGTTTGAAATCCGTAGAAAACCAAACTCCGATATTTGAACTCTCTCCCCTTTCTTCTATCTTTCCCCGTCTTATTCCCTTTGTTTTCTTTTCTCCTACAATTCTAGTTCTTGTTTTGATTGTGTCGGTCATCACCAATTCACCTGCGCTGGTGATGAGCTTCTCACACTTTATCCGATGGCAACATATCTAAAATTACCGGTGCTAGAGTACAAGCCAAGCAACATGAATTGGACACTTGGCAACTTGCTCAATCTGTTAAAGCTCTTGTTATAAAGTACCTCTCGATCCCATCAAAACTTTAGACCGATAATTTGTCTGGGTAGGTCGAACTACTGGAAAAAAATGGAAAGGAGTCATCGAAGAACTAACCTTTATGCCTTTCTCAACGTATAACAATGAAATAGTACCAACAATCTTATTAGGTACGAGGTCTTACAATGTCAAACCTATTAAACGAGGCACAAGAACAGCCACATTGTAGTAAATTCCCAAGATTTATGAGTTACCGCCTGAATTTCAACTATGCAGACAGAAACTTGTAAACAGATCACAGCCTTCACACAATCCTCTTCATTTTCCCAAATGCATTTACCACGTCAAAAATAATACAACAACAAACCTTTTCTCAATAAATTTAGGTCGACTACACGAATCCTTTTTCGAGTTCATTACAACCCAATAACTCATTTAAAGCAGAAAAAAAGAAAGCCCAAAAGTGTTTGCTTTCCTAAAGAATTCTTGGTTTGGGTTTACCTCCTCACATAAGACAATTTCTTCAAGCCAATTATAACATTTAATCAGGTTAATCTATCTATTCAAGAGCCTACAAATAAAAATAATCCAATCAAGATTCAACTAAATAATTCAGGTTCATACACTCAGCACCCCAAACATTTACATGTGTCTGGTTACAAATTACAAAAAGAAACATAGATATCGAATGCGAACTAGGTAAGGAATGACTAACCTGAAAAGTGCTTGAATGAAGTGGAAAAGGCTGGTGCAGAGAAACGGGGAGGGAGATTAGGCAAGGCGGAGCAGTAGGTGGATTTGGTGGTGGGGAGGCGGTACATTAAGACGGCGATCGCCGCCGTGGAAGTGGAAGCTGCCGCCGCTGCCATTTGGTATCAGCTGATTAAATAATGCCTTTGTATAGGTTTTGGTTCTGACTCTGCGTCCCTCTTCTTTCACTCTCCACTTTCTCTCTCTATTTCTTGATTGAAATACTCCTTTTGTTGTTGTAAAGCAAAGATTTTTGTTGACAAATTTTTGTTATCCACAATATATTTTTCTTTCGGACAACAATCAAATGATTTAATTGGATAACACGTGGAGACATTGAGTTTCTGATTGGTCATTCCCTATCTTCAGAAATCTTCAATTTCTTTCTATTCATGACATAACGAAAAGTAACGCTTTTGGTCTCTCTGTCCTCAGTCTCTATAGTGTTAATGTAGCATTGAATCGTGAATCCTACTATCTTTAAAAGAGACAAACCCTTAGGAATAGTAAAAATGGGCTGCCTCTTAAATGTTGCCAGGCAATCTTCTCCTGTTCATCCACTTCCACCGCCTCAAAGTTCTGTTTATCCCAATTTCTCTCGCTCTCTCCTCTCTCTCTCTCGACAATGAACACATCCCCGCCGTTCCCCCAAATCAACCCTACTTCTTTGAGGTGCGCCGTTTCTGTTACGATTACTTGTTCAAGGCGATGGTAATCGGTGATTCGGGTGTAGGAAAATCAAACTTTTTCTCTCGATTTACCCGAAATGAATTCTGCTTGGAATCTAAATCTACCATCCGAGTTGAATTTGCCACCCGTACCCTACAGGTTCTTTGATACTATTGCTCCTATTTTTAGTATTCATCAATGTGGAAATGCAAAAATAGTGATTTAGTATCTGTACGTCTCTTGTGAGTTCACGTATCAGTGGATTTGAATTTTACTTTTTCTGAATGTTTATATTTTACTTAAATTTTAAACAGGTGCAATTTTATGATTTTATCTATATTTTGATTCTTTTATTTGGTTTAGTTTAGGATCTTTAGATCTGTTAATTATGTTTCTTGGCAATGTTGTTTGGAATGGCTATCTGTTGTAGATTTGATGATTTACCTGGTATGCTTGCCTGTATTAGTTCTATTCGAAGTGAAGGTGAGATTTTAATAATTATAACTTAAATATGGCTTTATTATTGTTAACTTTTAAAGCATATTGAAAATTCGTTTTCTAATTCATCAAAAGGAAACTTTATTGTTTTTGCTAAATTAATTGTGATTCTAAAATAAATAAATCTCCATATACCAAGTTTTCACACTACATTGACAGAATATATTGAGTTGCTAGAATTTGATACGCAGAATGGCTGGCTTTTGTAGTCGATAAGTTTCGGTGCCATCTGAAATCTGAACCTTCAAGACAAACAATCTGGGCCCGTTTGTTTTCATCGGACGAAGTAGCTTTTGAGAAAAGGAAATGTAGCAAAAATTTAGGAAACGTAGAGGAGAAAATAAAACAGTTAGCAAAGCTTAACTGCTGAAATATTATTGTACTGCTCATGATTTACCAGACCATAGTTCCCTTTGTATTATGTCGCTCAGTCATTGCCTGTTCCACATAACGAAAGGATTGTCTTTCCATTTGGTTGTCCTTAAATGAGGGATGTGTTTTAAAGTCTATGAGCAATGCAGAATTCCATCCGCCTTACTGCCTGAATGCCTATACCGTTTGAGCATTTCTTCTCTCTTTCGATATTTTAGTATATGTTATCGGAGTTTTTTGTATATTTGTACATGTTTATTATTTCTTTACAATTTAGTATGGTAATATTTTGTTTTACTTAATGAAAAATAAAATCAATTGTTCAATCTTATGCAATTGTTGAGAATTTCGTCAATGTCAGAGAGAATGATTTGTATGAGACAGTTAGTTTTGCCTCCAATACTTTTCGGCTGTACTAAAGTGATAAATGACGAATATCCATTCATAAGAAATTTTAGTATTTGAACGTGTATGTCAAAAAGTTTGGAGTTGGTCTAGGATAAGATTCAAGCATAGTTGGAGGAGTTGGAGGAAGGCTCATATAGACAATGAATTTTGTATTTTTTGGTTTGAATTTCTTTTTTGATATTTCATCACCATCCACACTATAATATAAAACATGCTAATTTACACTGTTAAATTAACACATTTGGTTCCAGATTTTTTTTGGTTCATCCTTGGTGATAATCTAGACTTTAATGTTGATGCAAGAGACATCACTGCTGATTTTACTCATGATTACCTTCTTTTCTTTACTGATTTGTTTCTATATCACCAGAAAATTGAGTGACTGGATGTTATGAAATTAAGAGCTTTCACCTTTGGTCCTCACAAGTAAGTACTTCTCATAATCACTGAGTATTTCATTCATTATCCATCAATCATATAGACATGTATTGAAGATAGTTTTAATTGTGCAAATTAAGATGAATTGGTGGTGAGGATGGCACAAGTATCTATATAAAATGTCCAGACTTCACAATCTTTGCCATCATCCACTATATATCTAAAAGAGGCAACCCTTTATGAATAGTGAAAATGGGTTGCCTCTTAAATGCCGCCGGACAACCCTATCATGTTCATCCCACTGCCACCGCCTCAGACACAACAAATTCTATTTATCTCTAATTCCTCTCTCTCTCGACAATCAGCAGGTCCCTGCCTTTCCCCCAAATCAACCCTAATTTCTTTCTTTCTCAATCGCCTATACAATAGATATTTCTTCCTCTTCTTTTGCCTGTTGAAGCCGTGGGTGCACTGCTAGGAGTCCGACGAAGGCCAAGTTTTTTTGGCTTGAAATTTTAAGGTTTATTTTTACAAATGCGTGTTATGATTTCGTATTGATAATGGGTTGTTGATAATTTTTTTTTTCTTAGAATCATGTGCCATGGATAGTTCTTAATCTTTCACTATTTCAATTTTCTTGGTTTGTTAATTGGTTTCAGTTATGGGATTGATAGTGCGAAATTTGATGGTTTCGTGGAGTTTATTTCTCTCTCGTAATTTTGCAAAACCTTTGGTTTTTTAACGTGAAGATATTTTGATTTCCTGGTCAGAAGATCGAGCTACGACAATCATTCCAAGAGGGGGTTTCTTGTATTTTCTTGATACTCTTATGATGATTCTTCGTGGGTTTTTCTTCCTTGGTTTGGCAGATACTGCTCTTGGTGGCGGTCCAAGCTTTCGGTAATGTTTTATTGATTTCAATTACTGAATTGAGAGGATAAGAACTTTTGATGGTTTGATCGAGTTTTATTTTTTGTGTATCCCATGAATCCTACCTTGAAGATGTAGTGATTCGTGGTCCGATGATAGATGTACTGACAATCATTTAAAGAATCTAAGTTTCTGGTATATTCTTGATACTGATTATTTGAACCTTGGTTTTTCTGTTTATGATATCAACAGGAATTTTATAAATATTTTTGTGCAATCTGCTTCTGCGATTTGGAGTTTTTATTTTTCATTATTTGATCCATTCAAAAGGCTTTCTTTGGTGTTTCTATGAGTTTCTTTGGTTCTCAGGAATTGCTCCAAGAGGTTTTCCAGGCTTGTGGTGAAGCAATACTTTATATGGTTTTCGATGGTTATTTTGAATTATGTTTTGTTAGTTGCTTGGAATATGATATTCACTACAGTGGTACAGAAAACAATTTTCCGTTGTGATTCTTCACCCGCAGATGGAAGTCATCGTGATATTGATAAAATCAAATGTAGACCCCTTTTTTTTGTTCTTTGATGTTGTTTCTCGTGCAAGCAGATTCGACTGGAAGAGAATAATGCGTGATAGGGAAACTACTGGTTATCAGGGAGCCATCGATTTATTTGTTTATTCCATCTTTTTACCATCTTTTCTTATTCCACGGCAAGGACAATATATTTGAGGGGGGGTATTGGTGTGGGTGCCTTCTGGAGAATTTACGGTGGGAGCAAGAGAAATGGAAGCCTCATTTTGGCAAAAGCAGTGGATCTGTTGCTCGCCACATTCTTCAACAGTTGCAGGAGATGAGCATCATTGAGATGATTAAAAATGTGTTTTAGTTAATGGAATTAACTTTTCGTGTAACTATTTTAAGACTTGAAGTTACTTACCTTGAATTAGTGCTGAACATACTTGTTCTGTGGTAACATACAAAAAATTAAGTGTATCATTAGTTGCATTTGGATGTGTACGCAATTTATTGTGTAATATGTACACTTTTCGGCGATATAATCATGAGCATGTTAATTGTAATTTCTCTATGCAATCTTCTGTCCTGTTTGATAGTTATATGTGAATCAAATCTATTTTTTCATAGTTTTACTGCAATTATATATCTGGATTTTTTTCATAGTTTTAATTGTAATTTCATTATTATGTTTGGTTCGAATGAGGATTTTCTGAGCTTCTGCTTTAAATGTATAGATGACTGCACGCCTTGCCTTCCAGTTCTGTAAGCAATACAAACGAACTACAAAATTTCGGCGGTTGTGAGATCATCAGGAATCATCTTGGAAATCTTAACAAGTACAGAGACCAGCGAGATAGGCCTGATCTTGCTGCTCCGGAAAGCTTGCAGTTGTATCTGGATACAAGATTTGAGCAACTGAAAATTGCTACTGAACTGAAACCTTGGCAGGTATGTTCTTTATCTGTTTTACATTCATGCTTATAGGGATCTATTTGTTACTAATGTTTTATTAGCTAAAACTTACAGGAAGCGTTTCGTTCTATTGAAGATATACATGGTTTGATGTGCATGGTTAAGAAAACACCCAAACCTTCCTTGATGGTGGTTTATTATGCCAAGCAATCAGAAATATTCTGGATTTCTTCTAACCATCTTTATCATGCTTATTACTGGCTTAAGCTTTTCTCATCACTTCAGAAAAGCTTCAACAAAAACTTAAGCCAGAAGGATTTGCAGCAGATTACAACATCGATTGTTTTAGCTACTCTTTCAGTGCCTCCTTATGATTAATCATATGGCGCGTCCCATATGGAGCTTGAAAATGAAAAAGAGTGGTGTTTGAGGGTAGCTGGTCTTATTGCATTTGATGTTGAACCCAAATCTGAGAACAGAGAAGGGGTAATTCGAACTTTTGGCTGAAACTTTGACTGCATTCTATCAGTTTATTTGTTGACTGACAACTTCTATATATTTAGCCCCTGCTTGGCTCCCATTATTTTTCATTACATTACATTAATTTTTTCTCTCTCTTCATCTCAACCATACATTTATTAAATAAAATAATAATACACACAAATCTAAAAATTTTCAACCACACATCTCCCATCAGTCACTATTCTAAAAATTTTTAACCCCCCAAAAATCAACAATAATGGGGACCAAACAGGGGCTTAATGGAACTATAATAATGAAACTGGGGTGCGACTTTTTAAAGTTTTTGCGCTAAACATTGCCTGCAGTATAACCTGGGAAGCCTTCATTTTCAATCAAGAAATAATGGTATTTTCCTGTAAAAACTGAATTATCTATGTAGCGTATCTTTTGTAATGCTCCATCATACTGAGATTTTGATCTTTGTCCATACTAATAATTTGGAATTTGAAGTTGTAATTTGTAGGACTCAATGACTAAAGTTGAGTATATAAAAAAAAAAATCGTAGCTTTATGCCATTCTTGCATGTATAACTTAACCACCATAAATATGTTTTTTTTTCTAATTGTCCTGCTTAATATTGGCTACAATTTAATCCACTTTTTAAATTTTACTCTACAAAAACAAAAAATAAGACATGGGGCCTTTCAACTTCAAATTTGTAATATATATTTTTTAATTAGGCACTCATTTACAGCGATTAAACTAATAAATAGGGTTTTATGAAGCCTTTATATTGTAGATTTCTACATAATCGAAGTATAGGATGTGCTGTTGAGTTATGAATTATGGTAATTCCTAATTGCAAACGGCTATTCATTCCTAATTAATTTTATATTATCTGCAGTATTTTTTTTAGAACTATTAGAACCCTTGTACCGTTAAACGGCTATTGTTGCATTCTATTTCATCAGTCAGAACATCTGTTTATGAAGACTCATGAACTTTGATATAAACCTACTGAATCTTATATTTTATTAAATCGCAGATATGGTTATTCTAAGGAAAGATTTGTCAGGTCTTTGATATCTGTTGTTGGTATATTTTGTCTCGGATCTGGGGCTACAATTGTTCATGGAGTTGAAAACTTGTGGACTTCTCAGGTGCTTATTCTTAAAATTCAACTTGAAACTATTTTCTTCCTTCAAACAGTGGTTTCTTACGATGTGCAATGATGGACATTTATATTCCTTTTAGTTGCTATTCTTCTTGTTGCCATCCATGCTGTCAGGAAAAGTGCTGCTGCGGAAAGAATGAAAGTGAGAGACTGGGTCTGCCATGGCCATGATCCTACATCCGTTGCAGTTATGACAGAGGTGCTATGTCGTTTATTGGACCATTCAAATAGTTCGTTATTTATAATTAGAGATATATGAGCTAATATTTTTATCAATTTGTCTGTTTAACGTGATTGTTAGGACATAGTAATTCATACGAGCATTTTGAGTCATTGTAACATAATAATGCAAGTGATGACATAATAGTTGTTTATTTGCACAGCTATCAGGAAATAGAATTTATTTTTTTTTCTTAGTTCATGAAACACTAATTGCTTTGGAGATGAGATTAACTGTAAACAATAGCAATATAAGGCAGAAAGGAGGTGGAAAAATCACCTTCCATTTCATTATATGTTCGCTACAGCTTTCTTATTTGATTCATACGGTACTATAACTTCCGCCTCCTGTTTCCTTAATCCAAAAAGAAGGTATAAGGTCAACAATACTTCTTTAAGCCTCTCTAATATCGCATGCTGTAACATTTTCTCATAATAAATTGAAGAATAGATATACACTGTAAAGCTTTGGCAGCCGTGCTAATCTGGATTGAGGATAACAAAAGCTAATGTGTCGTTAAAGGTTTCAAACTCTGTTTTGAGCAATATACAACCACGGGGCATAAAAGAAGCAAAATGCAATCTGAGACCTATCAATTTTTACTTTTGCATAAATATGCAGAACATAAGATGGCACAAAGGGATGACGTCAAATGAATTTTTCCGATCAATGTTCAAGATGCATGAGATATAAGTTATTTGAAAATTTTCGTAATATAACCATTATCAATACATACACTAGACGTCGAGTCGTGCAACGCACGTCCGACACTAGTATAATTAAATGGGTAGAAAACTATTTTTGAAATTGATGGCCGAGATCTTGACAACACATGGATTGTCAAACTAGTTGTCAACAAATGTTGTACAACTAGCTTTATTCTTTAATATAACATTTTATTTAACGTATCATCTAACAAAGTGAATTAAATAACATTATTCTATAACGAAAGGCTAATTATATCAGGAAAAGAAATTGATATATAAGATATTAAGTAGACTTATTAGTACAAAACGTTCATACTTTTGGTCTTTAGTGATACGTATTAATGCCGTAAACCGGAGCTCGAGCTCATTGCCCGAACTCAACCTACCTCAATTATGCTAGGTCCAAGATTGGGCTTAGATTTGAGATCGGGCTTATCCCACAGGTCGGGCTTGTAGCACTTTTTGTTCGGTCTCCTTGACCTTATCTCACATTTCCTAGGAATGCTAATCATATTCACTTTCTATTCATGACATAACGAAAACTAACGCTTTTGGTCTCTCTGTCCTCAGTCTCTATAGTGTTAATGTAGCATTGAATCGTGAATATAATTAAATGGGTCATTTAATTTAACATTTTATTTAACGTATCATCTAACAAAGTGAATTAAATAACATTATTCTATAACGAAAGGCTAATTATATTAGGAAAAGAAATTGATATATAAGATATTAAGTAGACTTATTAGTACAAAACGTTCATACGTTTGGTCTTTAGTGATACGTATTAATGCCGTAAACCGGAGCTCGAGCTCATTGCCCGAACTCAACCTACCTCAATTATGCTAGGTCCAAGATTGGGCTTAGATTTGAGATCGGGCTTATCCCATAGGTCGGGCTTGTAGCACTTTTTGTTCAGTCTCCTTGACCTTATCTCACGTTTCCTAGGAATGCTAATCATATTATTATCCCACAGGTCGGGCTTGTAGCACTTTTTGTTCGGTCTCCTTGACCTTATCTCCCATTTCCTAGGAATGCTAATCATATTCCGACTACAACTCCCCACTTTTCCTATTTAAATACAAACTCCTAACCTATAACAAATTTGACTCTAACTCAAACTATGCACTTCTAACATAACACAAACACCTCATTTAATAAGGATAAGGACCGTAGGAAGTTGAATCCTTTTAGGATTCTATCTCCAACATATATAAATACATGACACAGCCTCATTATTCAGGTACGTCTTACATAATATTCCAGCATACATCCTTTTGAGCAATTTCTCTATCTGACTTAAGTATCGGAGGGGCGACGAGGAGACATCTCGACGCCTTTGTTTCAGGTATTGAAGATCGGATCGTGTAGAGCTCAACATCCAATTCGAGTTCATTCTGGTACAATTTTTTGGTAGCTTCATTTAGTATGCAAAACATCCTTACACTTCAATTTTTTGTATTTTCATCCATATTTCCACGTTTAATTGCGGAAATCATCATTTTTATCTATTTTTTCAATTAAAAGCTGTGAAATGACGAAAACGTCCTCCTATTTAAATAAACAAAAAGAAAAGAAAAGAAAAAATAAAGAAAAAATTAGAATCATAGTCCCGAAATTTTAAAAGATTACAAATTAGTCTCCAATGTATAATTAAAAATCCAACCTACGCAAAAAACTCAGGCCAACCACCACATTTGAACCTTAAAAACTCCGGACAATCACCACCCAAACCACCTGAACTGCATACCATTGGACAGCTCCCCTCTACACATACCGCCCAGCCACCAGCCCTAATGTCACAAGATTTGGTCGAAATCGATGGCCAAAATCTTCAACGCACGCACTTACTATCCATGTTTGATCTGTCATATGGAGGTTGAATTGTTGAAGACCCATAGGTGGAATTGTTGCGTTGTGATCAGATGATGTCGAATGGGTGGTTCATAATCATAGGTCCCACCACCGGCTTCGAAAATTGCGATTGAAAGTTTCGTTTTCGCTTGATTCGAAAAATGGTGCTGTAATTTTTGATCGTGTGGATTTATTGATGTTGCAAGACCATGAATAGGTGCGCCCTAATAAGTATAGTCGACCAGTATGAAGGAAAGGGCATGGGTCTCACCAAAGAAGGTGATGTAGTCAGTTTTTGTGTTGATGAGTTGCTGTTCTGGTCATCGATTTCGGTCAAATCTGGTGACATTAGGGCTGGTGGTTAGGTGGTATGTGTAGATGAAAGTGAGGGTTGTCCAATGGTATGAAGTTCTAGTGGTTTGGGTGGTGGTTGGCTGGAGTTTTTAGAGTTCAAAGGTGGTGGTTGGCCGGAGAAGGGAATGTAGTCGATTTTTGGGTTGACAAATTGTTGATTTTGGCCAAATCTGGTGACGTTAGGGTTGGTGGCTGGGTGGTATGTATAGAGGGAAGTGAGAGTTGTCCGATGGTATGGAGTTCCGGTGATTTGGGTGGTGGTTGGCCGGAGTTTTTAAGGTTCAAAGGTGGTGGTTCGTCTGTGTTTTTTGCGTATGTTGGATTTTTAATTATACATTGGAGACTCATTTGTAATCTTTTAAAATTTTGGGATTATGATTCTAATTTGTTCTTTATTTTTCTTTTCTTTTCTTTTTGTTTTATTGAAATAGGAAGACGTTTTCGTCATTTCAAATCTTTTAATTGAAAAAATATATGAAAATGATGATTTTTGTAATGAAACATGGAAGTAGGGGTGAAAATGTAAAAAATTGAAATGTGAGGATATTTTGCACACTAAGGACCAAATGTAAGGACATTTTGTGCTAATAAGTCTATTAAGTATGATACATTTCAAAACTAAAAAACAATGTTTAAAATTTCAAAAATCAGATTTTTAAAAAATTGTATTTATAAACTAATTAATTAAACATATATTTTATTTATAAATATATTAATGTCACAATTCTATAAAACTTGGTCACATATTATTTCTCGACCACAATCAAAAATTTTATAGGTCAAAATTATTTCATGATCACAAATCAAAAAATTTATACACAATTAATTCATCGGTAACAAATTTATCAAATTAATAGGTCATGAATTATTTATTGGTCACAAATCATAAATTTTACAAGCCACAACTTATTTTACTGTCATAAAATAACTAATTAATTAGTTACAAATTAATTTTCGATCACAACATAACGATTTTTTAGGTGATGCGTTATTTATTAGTGTCAAATTACATATTTCAATGACTATATATTATTTATTAGACACACATTCATCAATTTAAGATAGATGCAACATTCACTCTTTCATATCTCCTTAGTCTTTTCTATTGGTGGTTCTTTTGCAAAGGGTAAAGGGTCATAATTCCCACAACAAGAATGACTTTAGCTGCTTCTGTTCCTTTTATATCCAACATGCTCACTTCGCAATATTGATTATTGGGCTGTGATGCCAAATGGTTCTGAAAAATGGGCCTATTTGGTCCAGTTGATAAGTGGGATATTACTTGATAAAATCATGTGAGTGGTCCATGATTTGGATCCAATACAATGGCTTAAAATCGCGTTTCTGAATAGCACCTTTGGTTGTGAAAGGAATTGATAAAGTGCTAGCTGCTTTGGACCGTTGATCTTAATCTGAGATGAAAGGTGGCAAGTGTTGGTATAAATAAAGTACTTGTGTGCTATTTTTGGTCATTCTAATCGTCTATTCTTTGAGTTAGTTTTAGGGTTTTATCTCTAAAAGCTTATGTTCGTCTTTTTTTTTTGTGATAGCCCGACCAGCTAGTCCGACCTGTAATGCGATCCCGAATCCGTCCCTGGATTAATTGAGACATGTTCACTTCTTCATTTTGGGGTTAGGGTTTGTATGGTCACGATGATACATAATGGTACAATACTCATAAACATTCTTATATTCTCAGCTCGACTATGTGATACGTTATGTCATTTGGTGCAGTGGTTATGATCTTGTAAAAGTTTGGAATATATTATTGTGATTTTATTTTTAATAATCTGTTCGTTTTGTATGTACAACACAAAATTAAACCGCCAATAAACATGCATTCGGGTCCGAAACACAAATGGTAGTAAACTTAACTGGTAACGGGGTTATGTAGATTACAGTACATATTCCTAATGAGCAAAGCCCGTGAGATTGTCGGTAATCCGCCACGTCAGTCAGACCACGTCCCTTTCCATTTCCACCGACTATTTTTTGTATCCGTCCGATATGTAATCAATCGGACGGCTACTAATAAGATGACGTGCCAATCCATTCGTTGACGTCAGGCCACATAAAAGAATTTTACAAATAAGTATACACCAAAATAAACCGATAATATTCAGACACGTGTGACAGGCGGAGAGTAGTAGGCCACTAACTAAAGGTCGGCCCCGCCGGCATTGAACAGTTGTTATAAGTGGGACACGTCAGACTTTCAAAATGCATTGCAATCTGTTAAAATTATAAACAGTAACCAAACTTAACATCTACCTTTTTATTTATTTATTTAATAATTGGGCCAAAAAAAATTAAATCAAAAAATTGAATTTAGAAATTGGGTTGGGCTGGACCAACTAGACATGAACTTGGCTTGAGAGTTAGAATATTAATTACTAAATTAATTAATTAGCTAATTTGTTTAGAAAAAAATTAAAAAATTTAATTAATTCAATATAAAAATTTAAAATATTATTAAAATTCGGTTCTAGGTCTAGAATTGAGAAACGAATCAAACCCGTCAGCTCTTACTTTAGATACTCGTTTGAGTATTTAATTTATGAAGAACCGTTCAATTTGGGTCCGGTTCAGTTTGAGAGTTTTGCCCAATCATACTTCCCAACGTATACTATTTGACATGTTTGAAACAACTGAAAGTTTTAAGTACCAAATAGAAAGGAGACATAAACTTCAGGTACTAATTGGATTTTTTAACATGTATCTGTGGATGATGCGAATGCTATTGTAACATCATTGACGTGGCTAACTCGGAAGCGTTGATCTAGCATCCGGGATTTAGGGGTTTGACTGATGGGAAGCATATTTTGACATAATTGTATATTTGCTACCAAGACTTGCCGTGTTACTTTTTAAGTTTTAATCTACCTTTTATTTCAATTTTTTACACGTTTATGCCACTTTGCTAGAAAGTAGTTGACATATGGAGAAACTAATGTTAGTCGGCACTTTATCACGTGATATTATGTCAATCATTATGTCACTTTAGCATGATTCTTTTTTACACTAAAATTAGGTGAAACACGTCATAATTACTTCAATCTCATCGACTCATATCACAAATCTTGCACGGATTGCTATCTATTTAATATAGCATGGCCCCACATTTGTCTTAAATCTACTTAAATGAAGTTACTACTTACGGGTTTTTCTCCCGATATATTAATAATATATCGATTAAATCAAAATATAAAATTGAATAGAATAATACATAACTTTTATTTATATACGATGGCGGGGAAACATTTTTAAATTGCCTTTAAGCCTAAACATCTAGAGAACAAAATAAAACAGTTGGACGTGTCTTTATCACGATATGAGAATTTAGAGAATATAAGAAAATTATGAATTTTAAAGATGTGAACGAGCTACGAGCTTGCACCTATTTAACAGTTGATGATCGATGGTTTTAGAGAGTTTCGAGTCTTGTCGATCATCAATGTCAATACTAGTCATCGATATTAGGGCTGTCCGTGAGTCGGTTCGGTTTGGTTCTGAAGAGACCCGAATCGACCCAAAACTTTCGGGTATTTAATAAATTGACCCGTCGGGTCCAAATATAATTATGGAACCGTTCGGGTTCAGTTCCATTCGGGTCGGTTCGGGTCGGTACCATAATCAAATTTTTTAATATTTACAGTAACACTACATAAATACAACTAATGACATTTCATTCGTAACTTTTACAAATTAACGTAGCTCAATTCAAAAACATATAAATAACTAGCCGTCCAATAAGATTAATTCAATGCATACAAATACCAAAAAATAGATATTAATATTACAGCAAAACTACATAAAATATATTCATTTGTTTCAAATTAAAATAGGTTAATGGGTTTTAAAAATGATTTGGGCTTTAAAATTAAAATTATGAAATAAGCTAATTTATTTAATTAATTTGCTAATTTGTATAAAAAAAATAAAATAATTTAATTAATTCAATATAAAAAATAAAAAAAATATTTAGTTTCAATTCTTTTTTTGTTCTTCGGTTCTTGGTTTAGACCCGACTTTAACCCATCGGTTCTCGATTCGGGTACCCGTTCAAGTATTTAATTTATGAAGAACCGCTCGATTCAGTTCGATTTGGTTCGGGTTCGATTCGATCCGATTCGATTCGAGACTTTTGGACACCCCCAATCGATATACATAAAAATTGGAGTGTTGAAGCGAAAACCTAAAATTGAAGGAGGCCTGCTACATGAACACTTCCAACAAGAATAATCCAAATTGAAGTGCACGTGGGCCCATTCCGGATTTGAAATGCCAAATTAATTTTCATTTAATCTTTCCCATGACAAAAAACAAAAATATTAAATTATTTTTCCCAAAATAACCACGCCAGCAACATGAAGGTTGGTATTAGTTGGCCTATTTGACCCCGAGTCGTACTAAGCAACATAGTGGGGCTACAATTTCAGTCTAAGAGTGTGTTTGGTAGAGATTAAAATCGGATTAAAATTAAAAAATAAGTCGTTATTGTTCACTTTTATTATATTTTCAATTTTAATTAAATTTTAATTCCTTCCAAACAAGTTCTAAATGACGAACAATAATAAGTTGGTTATTTCACATTTCATTTGATTAATCATCTAATGTCTTCTAAATTGCGGTTACAATTTCAACGAGGCTAAATAACTTTACTCATTGGACCTACACAGAAATCGAGTAGATAAGGGACACGTGTACGGTAAACGATGACGTTATTCTAAAAAATTCCGCCAGCACGAATTCAATGCACCAGCTCACCTATCCCCACCTCACGCCTGATCGTATATACATACAAATGTATGTATGCATATACTCCTTTTTCCCATACGGTGGACACGTGTTGGGTGACGTGGGTATTTGCTTTGGCGCTCTTATTTCCTTCTTCTTCTTCTCTCTCTAAAATATCAGAGAAGAGAAAAAAATAAAAAATAAAAACTTTTGTTCTGCTGTCTATGCGTGTTTTTGTTTTTCTAGAGAGAGAGAGAGAGAAATGCAAGGAGTTTAAGAGTTTGGAAATTCAGAAACTGGTTTTTTATCTTTGGTTGGAGAATTTCAGGTATTTTTTTTATGGATTCTTGTAATTCTCAGTGAAGCGAAGTGGAAATCTTTCGTAGTAAGGTTTAAATTACCTGAAATTGGGTGGTGTGTCCTGCTGATCATTGTTATTTTTCTTTATTTTGTGTGATTAATTTGTTTGTTTATAGATTAATTTTAATTTCTCTTTTTCTGGATACTTGATTTTTGGTTTTCTTTTAATTTTTATGAAGTTGAATCAGAGTATTTAAATTTGTGAAGGGTTTTGGTTTGAAACAGATGAAAGCTTTGAGATCAGGCATTCTGATTGAGAAATCTTAAAGAACAGCCAGCAACATAAATTTAAATTATCGTTTTAATTAAAATATTTTTGAAACTTTAGGTAGATGACGAGGATAATTTTGTCATTATATAGTCTAGGTTGTTTTGGATGGAAAACAGTTATATGTCGAAGTACATACTACAGAGTGGGGTGGGGGATATGAAAGGACGATAATGCCCTCAATGTGTAGATCTAAGAATTATTACTTTTGATCAGTGTAATTATCCTAATGGATGCATCTAATTTTGATGAAATACGGTCATTTGTTAATTATTAGATCTGAAGTGTTTATAAATTTTAAGTTTTCTGGCATCAAATTCTGAGTCCTATGCGCAGTTGATTGCAATCTGGAATTGAAATCCTTTATATCATTGTAATCTAATCACGACGACTGTTTTTCTAATTGATCAAGAAAAACCTAGATATGGCGGTTAAAATTGTTTTAATACTGTAAAAATCCATATTTGGATTTTGGACCGAGAATTCTTTCAGTGTATTTGATAACGAGAAGAAAACCTTAGAAAATAATTAAGAAGCAAGAGGTACAAAGTATTTGTCGACGTGTTGTGATAATGAGAGGTGTCATTAAGATTTTTAGCTTCTTTTTCTACCTCACTACGGTTGAGTGCTCTATATCCCCTACCTAACATGCCATTGGTGTATCCGTGTGGTTTAGCGGAAATAAAGTGAAGTTTCATGTTTTTGGTCTTATAGGGTCAAGAAACATAACTATGTTCAAAGAGGACATATATGCTGCTTTTCTATTCTGCCATTGTTTTTCTATTAGTTATATACTGGGTTTCTGAATGACTTTCTTTCCTTATTTTTGCATTATTCATCTTTAGCTATTAGTTGCATAGATACTTTGACGACTTTTGATTACTCTTCTTTGGTTTAGACGATATATTGCGTAGTTTTTCCTTCTTGCAGAAAGATCAAAAGGATTTTCTTGTGTCATCGTTTGATTAGGTTGTCACGCTATCATGGGAAACAGTGAGGAAAGGAAGTCTGTTAAACCCGAGAAATCTTCTTCACCTGCAATGGTAAGCCTAGAATAATCATTACAGTAATCTATTATCTATGCACATCCTTTAGAAAAGTAGGTGTGCTGGTTCTCCCGGACTTCGCTCATCTTACAGGAGTCTCACTTTTGAGCTCAAAATCATTTTTAGTTCTTTGTCCTTCAGCCTTTGTTACTTTACATCATCAGTTGAAGTCCATTTCTGAGTATGTGTAAAATGGCTTTCTCCTTGACAGGACCAGAATAATGTTCACGTGTACCCTGATTGGGCAACTACGCAGGTTATTTGTCTTTATCCACACGCTTTGTTATAATCTAGAGAAAATTATATTATATTTCATTTTATCATAAATTTGGGAGACAGGATGCTAATTATTATATGCTTTGATCTTCAGGCATACTATGGCCACCGATTTGCTGTACCGCCATATTTCAACTCTGCTGTTGCCGCTGGTCATACTCCACCTATGTATATGATGGGACTTCCACCACAGGTATTTCCCAAACTGCTGACATGTGGGAACACACATACACACATGGTTATATATTTATATTTTCTTTTTGGAGGGATGCAGTTTCCACTTGATTTCTTTATTATCATTTGAAGCCATTTGCTGAGCAGCTGTTAGTATTAACATTCAAACCTTCATGTTTCAGTCTATGTTGCCTCCTTATGGGGCTCCATATGCGGCATTCTATGCTCATGGAGGAGTTTATACACATCCCGGAGTTCACCTAGTAAGTTTTATGTTTCTTGGAATTCAGCATGCGACTTAATAAAATCCTGATATCTGTGAAGGGACTGTGTCTGATCACCTTGTCCTGAAGGAGCCTCTACCAAGTCAGTTATGTGGTCTAAATGCAATTGTAATTATAATATAGTTCCGCTTATATGTATCATTGTTTGTCTATTACTTTTTAATCTTCATTACAAGATTCCTATGTTGTGTGGAGTGTTCCACCAACTATTTGCTGTAAGCAAAACCCTAGAATGATAATATGTTGGACTATGTTGAGCTTATTTATAATGGACTCTTCTCATTATAGTGAAAACCTGCAGCAGCTAGTCGACGAAGTTCTCACATTTGAGGGTGAGCAACTATAAGTTTGTGCCTGCTCTGCTTGTTTTGATTGTTATAGCTCTCAAAGTAGGGATTAGAGTTTAGCTCCAGCATAATTATAATATGACCTTTAATTGATTTGATTATTTTCCATATGTGCATATTTTAGTTAATAAGAGCTGCATCCGTAGTTGTAGATTGCCTTTTAGGAGTATAACTGTTAGGAATGGGAAGTAATTTAATGACTATGCGGTCATGTAGGCAGGTTCGTCTTTCAGCACAGACACACAGGCCAAGTCATCGGGTAATACAGGTGGAGGCATGGTGGAGAAATTGAAAGAAATTGATGGGCTTGCATTCTCAATAGGCAATGGTCACACTGAAAGCACTGAAGGTCAAGTTGATCAGAAAGTTTCACAGAGGTCTGTGGACATATAATGGCAGCGGTGTTGTTTGTATTTAATATTTAGTTTTATGTTAGACATGTTCGGCGAAGCTTAGAAGTTACATTAAGTATTTTGACTTTTTTTAGGCTTAGCCAAACTAGCTCTTACTGCCAAAACAGGTAAGATTTTGTGCTGAAAATTTGAAAGCAAAAGTAACGTATAAACAATCTCAAACTATTTGGCATAAAAATTTACTTAATAGGAACTTTTAAGATTAGCCAAACATGCTCCCTCGGCCTAAATATCCGGCTTCTTAAACTAACTAGAAAATATTAGTTACTGGTTTTGCTTATTTAGATATTCTGAACTGAGTGTAACATTTCATGCTTCCTGAACAGTGAAGAGACTGAAGGTTCTAGTGACGAGAGCAATGGAATTACAGCAGGGGTAAGGGTTTCTCATATTATATAGAATTATCAAGAGTATGAAGTGTGTCATCTCATTATTCTTGCATCATTTTCTAGGCGGGTCAGAATGGAAAGAAAAGAAGCCAGGATGGAAATCCTAACAACAGTAAGCTTCTTTTCTTAATCAAACTGTCCCTTTTTATCAACTTTCCTTTTTCCTCATGCCTTGATGTGTCTATATCCAGCACATATTCAAGTATAAAAATTATTTTCATTTCGGTTGCATGGCTATATTGAACAATTGTGAGAAGAACACATGACTAACAAGCAAAAGTGTGCACATGATTTTCTGCATGTGTGCATTACATAGTAGTTTTTGACAGCCACGTGAGGTTTTCCTTAGTAGTACTTGCATGATTGGCTAAGCTTACTTATAAGTAAATAATTAATTTCAATATAAAAATTTTTTGGTCAAAGTTAAATATAAGCAAGTTATATTTTGACAGTAAGGTAAGAAGTACTTTTAAAAAAAAAATTCCTTTTAAGTATGGCCAAGTATGCTTGTAGTCTTTACATCTGGTATTGCTTTCGTGTTTAGTCCTTAATGAAGTGTATTACTATCGAAATCTATGATTCAAGCATTCTGGATTGCCTCTTTTTTTATGACTAAATATGCCACACTTCATCTCCTGAACTCTTTTAACCAGTTTAAGCTGGGTAGGTTAAGTAGCAGCTTAATTTCTGATGCTTTAATATTCTGAAAGCAGAAGATGGAAAGATTCGGACACAAAACAGTATGATTCCCAGCAAAGAAGCTGGTCGAAGTTCTGAGGAAACTGTGGATGAGATTGTGCCTGCGGTTAATACATCTGAACAATTGATAGGAAACGCGACTACAGCATTGGAACTGAAAAATACTTCTAACGCAAATGTGATGCCCAGTTCAACTAGTGTTCCACAATCTTGTCCACCAATGCTGAATGAAGCCTGGGTGCAGGTACATTATGAACGTGTTTTCCCCTTGCATTTCTTCCACGCTTTCACTTTTTCACTAATAAGAACACTGGTAATATCCATGTTGAAATCTAAGCTTGAGCGAACTCAATGTAACTTCCACAATCTAATCCTGTGAATTTTGGCGTACCCTGATGATATGGTATTTCTGATTTGCATAATTGTTCTGTACAGAATGAGCGAGAGTTGAAACGGGAGAGGAGGAAACAGTCTAATCGGGAATCTGCAAAAAGATCTCGACTGAGGAAACAGGTATGGATATGAGTCGAGAATATGTCATGTCATGGACTGTTTCTTGGACCATATCATTCTATTGCATCTTCAAATCTGTTACTTGAAAGCTTATTTTTGTGTCAACTTATCTTTTGAGCTTTTTCCTTAATTAGTTTTTTTTTTTCGTTCGACTCTTCTCTTTCAGGCTGAAACTGAAGAACTGTCTATGAGAGTCCAATCACTAACGTCCGAGAATGTGATTCTTAAATCTGAGATAAATAAATTAATGGAGAGTTCAAAGAAACTGAAGCTTGAAAATGCTACATTAATGGTATGACCTTATTGATGTGTTTCTGTTTACTCTCTTTCTATCATTAGTACTATCCACGAGCTTAAAAATGATTAATTTTCACAGGAGAAACTGAAAAATGCACAACTCGGACTATCTGATGAGACGAGTCCATTTGAAATTGATGACTCGAGGATGAAACCGATTGGCACAGTAAACCTACTGGCAAGAGTTAACAACTCGGGTTCTGTTGATAAAAAGGATGAGGAGAATAACACGAATGAGAGAAAGAGCCCCATAGCAAAGCTTCACCAACTTCTTGATACAAGCCCCAGGGCCGATGCTGTGGCTGCTCGTTGATCTGCAAACCTGTAATTCTAACTACTCAACCCTTAGTAGATCTTGTAATTTTGGCATAAGTTAGAAGCCCGAAATTACTGCTAATTAATAGAATGTAAGGTAATTTTCACTTTAACCGAGAACAAGGTATCAACAACAACAGGGTTTTGCTCCACAGCCTGTGGGATAGTAGCAGCCGTTGCAAAAACCAAAAACCGAGACCGAAGATGAGTTTATATAGTTTAGAGTGGTGGTTGGGATGCCTACAAATAGGTAATGTATACTGGTGAGACTTAGGAACTACGTTTAGAAAATGTTGTGGAAGTATATGTGGTTTGTGTTAGCGTTTAAAGAACCTCTAAACTTACTGAAAAGATTCTTCTGCAAGTAAAAGCACATTTGCACATTTTCTGCCATTATGTGATTCAACTGGTTGTGTGAAAACTTAAATGCAAACATTAGGCATTGTGTAATTGTTGAGCATTTGGCTATGTGGTTCCATGTACTGAATTTATTCCCATTCATAGGTCTGTCTACATTGAAAGGTCGAATGATCAATTCTGCAATTAGTTGTTTGAATCAATAGGTCCTCAAATGAACAAAATGGAAACCCTTCTTATCAGATGACTATGATACATCTCGAAAATTTGGATTCTTGATCAATGGATGAATATATCCCATTCGGTTTAATAAGATACCAAAGTGGATGATTTATTCATTTCTTAATTGCAGAAAATTGCAATTTTGGACTAAACTTTTCTTAGAAGAGTTGGTATATGTTGGGTTGGGTTGTATGATGGGACAATTTAAAGAAATAAAGAAAGGTTCAAATTTAATATCATATGGTTCTCTTGTTTAGTATATAATGTGCTGAAAGTGTGTGTTGGGGAGTATATTTTTAAGCTCAAAGCATTTCTTGAAGGACCAAATTTAGGGGTGGTTCTCTTTATGTTTCGGTTTTGTGTTTCAATTTATTGTTCACGGCATTACGGCAAGTTTATTATGGATAACTAAATTGGTAGCAATTCTTTTCGAAATAGCTATTTTATTCAAGAAAATTTACTCAAAACTATTATCCTGAACGAAATAGCTATTTCGAAATAGTTTATTTGTTTCGAAAATTAAGGTCGATGATCTAAATGCGAGAAAAGGAAGGTGAGAAAGGTTGAGGACTCCAGTGTGGTTTGGATTTTGGCTGCAATTTTGTGAAATAGAATTGTGTACACAATATCAATTTAGCCAAATAAACCTTAGTTACCATAATAATTTGTTTATATCTCTAATGTGAAGTTCACAGTGTATTGTTAAGGACGCGTTCGGTAGAGATTAAAATTAGATTAAAATTGAAGAACTACCACAATGTCAACTCGGAGCATTAAACTAATGAAATTAAAACAAAATGTAAGTGTTAACCAGAAAAGTACCTTTAAACGTTGTACCTTTCTTTATATCTACGGGTGATCTACTCGAGCTTCGAATGTGTGAATTGTATCTGTGGTTGAACCAAAATCGAAGTTCAGTAGTTAGATTACACAAAATTAAAAATGAGTAACTCGAAAGCAATTTCGTAGAAACTTTAATGACTCATCATGAATTTACTCAATATTTACACGTTGGAACGTAGAAGTCTCTTGTCCTTCTAATTTATTCAATATTTCTTCCAACCCAATCTAGTATCCCATCAGGGACGGATGTAAAGGAGATTGGGTCTGGCCGTAGTTCTGTTCAATCCCCAATTCACTTCATTTAAAAAAAAAAAAAGATTTGGTGTAAGAAATTTTTTTTATGTAAACAAAATTTTCATGTGTAATTTTATTTTATATTTAACATATTAGCTTGACTTGTAGCACATTCCTAAATTCGTTCTTGTATCCCACAATTCAAGGTGAAAATAATTAATATGTACATTTGACCACCTAAAGTCAAAAGAGTAACCACATGGTACTCCCCGAATTACGTGACTCTCGTAATAACCGACTAGGTGTCGTCTCCTTGACACGTGATTCCCAGTCTCCACCTCTATTTCTTGGTAATTAATTTTCTTGATTAAGCTAAATTAATACAAAAACAAGTGATTATTTTGACAAAAACACGTGCTCAATACATAATAAATACAGAAAAATACAATAGTTAGAACAAACGTGGAAGAAATATATTGTTTGTGTTGTGTGATAATATCTTTCTATTTTAAAGATTTTTCCATATATTTGATACGTTAAGTTCCTATTTGGTGTATTTAAATATTAACTTTTTAATAAAATTTAATGGAATGTATCTATATAATAAATTAAATTAAATATCACATCAAATGAGAATAATTTTTTGAACAATTTTAACATACTACAATTCAATTATTTCAATAATATTTTATTTTTTATTTTTTAATATGTAATAAATGCTATAAAATCCTCAAAATGTATGAATTTCGTATTATTAATTCTAAATTGATAAACATTAACATTAATCTAAACTTAATGATTTTTGACTTGATGAATCTTGATTTATACGAATCTAGAGTTATTATAGATGAATTTAGTTATGTTCATGTATTTAGAGATTTTAATGGGTGTTTAAATTTATGTATTAACAATTAATTCTTATATAATATTAAAATATTGCTCATTTATAGTATTTTATCATCACAAAAAATTTGAATAATAAAAGTTTAGTTTTGAGAGTACAATTTTCTTTTCTTAAATTTTTATCCTAAATTTTATTTTTTTTAGTTCGTTCGAGACTTGTCAAATCTTCCAGACAAATTTGTATCAAATATTACTTTTACAGTATTGATAAGGTATTTTAGAATAATGTGTAATGCACGTTCAACTCTAACCAGTGATATCACAATTGATAAAAATTGATGATCACATAAAATATGTTATTAAACTAATTGTTGATTATGACTTAAATTTTTATTGAAATTTTAATTTGCTATATTTCTATTTTTATAATCTTGTCTAATGGTATCATGTCTTGCACCAAATATTTCATCACTTATTTATAGTTTTTTAATTTTTCTCTTCAATTTTTTATCATTCCTACATGAAAATTTAAAAATATATGCAGAAGTTGGATCTTCTTCTCTAATGCTCAATTCTCAAGATAAATGATAAGACCCAAAGAAGGTAATCTCTAATTTTTAAAATCAATGTTCTTGAGCTGAGAGAGTCGGGTGAAAAAACTCTTATTTCTCGATTCATCTTTAACTACAACCAAACGCAATATGCAAATTGACTTTCTATTGTATAGCACTTTTCAAGCGTGCTTGATCCAATCATTAATAGCCATCTCTTCAAATAGACCTACTAAAATCACGAGCCGTGTACTGAAATATAGTCAAGAGTGATAGACATGAATTCTTGATTTAAATGTACAATTCTATTCAAATTTCAAACTTATCTCAAGAATCGTTTTCTTTAAAATTATAAAATTCAATCCAGAATTCAATCATATGACGTTTTATGGATTTTTCTTTCAGATTATTTAATCCAATCCCAAAAATCAATCATATAAACATTGTATGGATTTAAATTATCCAACAATCACCCATTAGCATGATTTATTTTGCAAGCATGTCCGCTCGTGCACCCACGTGTACATTTAACATTCCTACTCCACGCTTTGTACAATGACACGAACTTCACGTATCTCCGTCTCTACCCACATTCAAAAATAATTATTTAAGCCCATTTTTACTTATAATTATTTCATATTTGGCCATCCCATTTTCCCACATTCTTGCTTCCTAGCACAGGTATCAGTCCTCCCTTAAATCTGAATCTTCATCACAGTTAATTAAATCCTTCATTAACTTCATTTCACACTAATGCATTGTATAAAGTTGACATTTTGTTGCATTTTTCTTAATTTAATATGTTTTTTGTTGTTTACTTAATATGGGCTCTCTTGAATTTTTGAATGCTTCATTTCAAAGTTCCAAAATTTGTGGAATAGTTAACCTTTAGGCTTTAGGTATTGTTGAGGTGAATTTGAGTTTATTTTGAAAATTCAAGATACCAAGGATTTTCTTGAATGTACTGAGATTTATTTCCTTTCCGCGAGATTTCCTCGTTCCAAGATTCAGATTTGGATACTGGGTTTTTTCCGTTAGTTGCTCTGAAGAATTTTTAAGCTTATATGGAAGTATTTCTTTGGAAATTTGAAGAGGTGATTTATATATGTTTGCAAGTCTATTTTCTATATCATCTCCTTTTGGTTTTTCTTATCTAAATGCGGAAACGAGATTCCTTTTAGTAGACTTTCGGTGAGCTATAGCCGGACTTTTTTTACCTTAAATATAGGTAGGAAGAAGAATATTTGTATGCCAATGTGAAATGTTACATTTTGCAGATATCTCTAGGCAAATTTGGAAATGTAAACCGTGACGTATTTTCATAAACTTCAAGTCGAGATTTTCATCTGAATCTGTGGAATATGATGATAAGAGTAATGTAGGAAATGATAACTAGTTGGTGGTTTTTAAATTTGTATCGCGTCCCGACAAAAAAATTTGTAAGAAAGGTTTTGGTGTCATTTCAGATGAATTAGCTGTCATACTGACATGTGTATTCTTATTGAGATTATTCTAATTTGAAAATTTTTATTAGGATTTAAAAAATTTGGAGATTGAGAGGAAAAACGATTCGCGTTGTGGTGTTCTGCATTGAAAAAGAATGGGGCATTCTGCAGCAGTCTGGGACCATAGAGCAGCAATCGAAGTGACAAAGGACTGGAGTGGGATCGATCAGGTGGTGCTTCGGACTCCTCAGGGGGCATCTGCTCGGGTAAGATCCCATGATTGATCCTTTTTTATACATTTTTTTAACATATATAGAATTTTTTACGTTTCCCTATTTTGATTGATTGCGAGAATATTTTTATACATGGCATAATTCAGACTCATTAGTTTTGAACAGCTACCTCATTGAAGTTCTTATTGAATACAAGTTAAAATGATTATACAGATTAGTTTGCATGGAGGACATGTGATCTCATGGCGGAATGATCTAGGAGAAGAACTTCTATTCTCCAGCAGTAAGGTGTGAGTTTGATTCTGAAACTCATTAAACTTTTGTCTAAACTAATGTTAAGCAGTTATATTTCTTGGTAAATAATTGATGTTATTGACATCCTTACAAGGTTCAAGTGGCTAAAGGTATAAATATTTAAATATTCCAATCTTTACATATTGACCGCAAGAAATGCGGAAGTTTCTGGGAAAGAATCCGTATGTGCTGTAACTTAACAATTGAGGATAAAAAGTTGACATGGATAATATCCCAGAAGGATATGATGTTTGAACAGTCGTACTATCATTATGAATTTAATTGCATCGAGCAAAAGTTAAATCTATACCACTAGTTCCTAACATCAACATTCTAACACAAAATTTGATTATACTAGGCTTATGGTTATATTAAATGATGCCTCTTGCCATTTTAGAGTAAGTGTCATCTACTTACCATAAGCAGGACTTTCGTAATATTATGTACTAGTTAATTTTGGGATCTGTGAAATTGTTCTATCGACTAAATCCTATTTTGGTGATCCCATGTTTAAACTTAGTAGTTCTAGATCTTACTCGAATTCCTGATAAACTTGATGATTTTTTGATAAAATCAACTATAGTCCGGATAATTATGTACTTACAGAATATTGATAGCCTTCCATAAAAGATAATAGACTAATGACAACTTCGAACTTATGGAAAATTTCCCTTAGGATTGTGCTTCAGGAGAAACCTGTTCCATTTTAATATTTTTTGAACATATCATTGTTTGCAATAAATTTGGTTAATTCTTCTATCTGCTCAAAGTTTTATAAAAGAAAAAAATTTGTCAATTTCATGATAATTGAGAGAGGTCCTTGAGTTCTCATGTAGGCTGATTAATTTTTTGTTGAACTTTCCTCCTATTGTTATTTTTGAACGATACCCGGTCTATAAGGCTTTAAATTTTTTATAGGCTATTTTTAAGTCACCAAAAGAGATGCGTGGAGGAATCTCTGTTTGCTTCCCCCAGGTAAACTGCAGGCTGCAGCTTATTGTATATATTTGACATAAATTTTCAAACTACAAATCCTTGACTTGTGTATCTAAATGATGATGTTTTCAGTTTGGAAACAGTGGTTCACTTGAACAAGGATTTACCAGGAACAAAATTTGGACCATTGAGGATGATGCCCCGCCTTTGCTAAATTATGATATCCGTGGTAAATCCTTCGTTGACTTGTTACTCAAACCAGGAGAAGAAGAACCAAAATGTTGGCCTCATGGGTAAGAACTTGAATGCTTTGGAGCTTTGTAACTTTTGAGTGAGCATGCTGCTTATTCTACCTTTCTGATGAAAAATTCTCTTTTTTCCTCAGTTTTGAACTTCGTGTTCGCGCGTCTCTGGCATCGGATGGAAACTTGGCAATGATATCTCGCGTTAGGAACATCAATGGGAAACCTTTTAGCTTCTCATTTGGGTATCATACATATTTGTCCCTTTCCGACATAAGGTAATTGTTAAACCTTTGGCACACATAATGGATGGAATTTGAATTCAATTTAATTATATTTCTCCAATTTATTTGGACTGTTGTCCGATAGTGAAGTGAGACTAGAAGGTTTGGAGACGCTGGACTATCTAGACAACCTTTGCCAAAGAGAACGCTTTACAGAGCAAGGAGATGCCCTGACATTTGAATCTGAGGTAAATCTTTTAACATTTTACAAGCTTTTGTAACGTGCGATAAGATACCAATTCACATTTTACATTTGGTAAATTTCATTTTGGAGATAATGGATGAGAATGCTCTAACTGAAAAAGATTTTTTTCCCTTTACTTGCAGGTTGATCGCATTTATCTAAGCTCTCCAAATTGCATTGCGGTTCTCGACCATGAAAGGAAGAGAACATACGTGATAAGAAAAGAAGGTCTACCGGATGTTGGTAAGATGCTTCAAAGGAAATTTTTCATCGGCTTTCTTCTGATATACCAATATAATTTGTACTGGTGAAATTTTGTTTTGTATACAGTTGTGTGGAATCCATGGGAGAAAAAATCGAAAGCAATGGCAGATTTTGGTGACGAAGAGTACAAACAGATGCTTTGCGTTGATGGAGCAGCATTCGAGAAACCGATCACCTTGAAGCCAGGAGAGGAATGGACAGGGCGTTTGGAGCTTGCTGCTGTACGCTCAAGTTTTTGCAGTGACTACTTTGATCCCCAGCTTTAAGTAAGAAACTTGTATAATCCATGTTTTAATCCGAAATTTAGTGTGTAATTCATGTGGTTAGGTTCGACAATTAGAAAATCTTCAATGGAATAGTGAAGCCTATGGGTTTTTTTGTGAAATGGCTGCTATTTTCAGTTCGAACAGAAGAAATTTCGGACAAAAATTCGTTCTTTTCCAAGTAATTATATGATTGGGTGGTTTCTGTTTCTCTAATTCGTTAACTAATTAATTGCAAAACAAATTACAACTTTCTCCAGGCCACCAAGAAACACATCAAACAAAGAACAATATATGACTCATAATACTTATGGCACATTTGGCAAGACTTCCATTTTTACTTCGTGTAAAAGAGTTTTCTGAAAAAGTTACCTTAAATCGATTCCATCTTAAAGCTTGTTTTGCTAGATAAAATACTTGCAAAGGATCATCTAAACATGTTCAAGAGTATCTTACTAATCTCAAAAGTTACTTTTGACTTTTTAAAAGTCCTGTCAAACAAGTCCAGTAGTTCTCGAAGTGGCTATGCACAAATAAACAATCATAGGATAATTCTTTTTGTTGATGTTCTGTTTGGCCTCTTGTGCTCTGGGGAATGTCATCATTCAGTCCTTAGCCATGGACTTGTCCATTTCAGATTATCTTGCATTTCGACGTTGGCAGCTTCTATAGGATAACTGATAACATTTCAGCAAAAAAGGGTCACTTGCCAGCCGCTCAACTTACAGTGAAATTTCACGTTGATCACCAGATTTTATTTGGTTCTTAAATGATAGTTGAAATTACGTTTTGTTTCGGTTTAGTCGACTTAAATTTGACATGGAGACTTTCATGTTGTGCCATGTTAGATTGTACTACAATTCAGCTCATTTTATTCGGCACAAGAACTAAACAACAAATTAATCCCATGTTTGTCTATCATTATTCCAAAAAATTGTTTGCTACAGTAAAATTCTCTACCACACATTCATCCAATAAAATATTTTACACACATACCAATAAAGTTATTTTAAATTTCAACCACACATTCTCTAAAAAATACTATTCATTACTCTATTTTTCTCCCAATAATGGGAGACAAACACACCCTAATTCTTGTTCTCGACAAATAAATCATCAAGTACTTGAATTATTTCAGGTCACTACATTTGGTTCGCTAAAATGAAAAATAACAGAACACGGGGAAAAGTAGATTATAAAGCAGGTTTTGTACTTGCCAATTGCCACCATACATGCTGAACTCAAATTCAGCACCCTGCATAAGCAACCAAGAATAGTTATAACTTACAAGTGCTGTGTCAGCAATAGTATCATCTATACATAAGCATTTATCTCATAAAGCTTAGAAATGAAAACTAAACTTTGATTTCTCTTCTTATCCCCATGAACAGATAAAAAAAAAAAAAAAGATACGTGAAAGATTTAGATTCAGATATATAAGTAAAATATCAACAACTCTGTTTCTTAGTTTCACGTTGGCCTACCACTTCACAAATTCTTTATATATATATATTAGTTCGAATCCCCTCAGGGTCACTGAAGTGAGTACCCGGCCGTAAACTTCAGGATGCCGAATGATTAGTTGAGGTGTACGTAAACTGACAAAAAAAAAAAAAAAAACAGTTTTGGACC